AACATGGCATCAATTTCGTTGAAACTATTCAAAAAAAATTCTTATAAATATCGTCAATAAATACCCCTCTGACAGTTTGAATTAATAAGAAATATAAATGCACGAGAAATCATTTTGAGCCTATTCCTATCATCCATGTATTTATGCTGAATTGGGGCCAATCATTCAAGTATGTATACCATGGCAGCGAAATTTTCGGTCACATGTCAACAACTCCTTTCGGACTTGTTTTTACTATTTTTATCAATTTATCAGTTATGTTAAATACATCATATTTTAAATTTTTTGCAATCAAGCGTGACCATATCTATTTGCAGAAAACAAAACAGATTTTATCTATATGGAGAAAACGAAACAGATAGTAGTGTATATGCACGATCGTGCTCTCCCAACATCCTTGCCAGGGTTGACACGTTTATAGAGTTTAAGGCTTCAAGGTTTAGAGATTGCACAACAGACAAAATATTTTAAAAAATATGGCTGCGTCACCAAAAAGATTTTTATCTGATTAAAACGACGGATAAACCCGAGCAATGTTTTTTAATAGTCAGATACTCTGATACGGTGTTGAAGTGAGTGAACAAGTCTAAACCATAAAAGTCAATGTTTTGCTTACCGCAACACTAATGCAATTATACATATTTCTGTTTATCGTTTCTGTCAATACTGCCTATAAGAGAACACTTGTCAAAATTTCTCAACTTCAAAAAACTGATCGGCGTGGGAATATATCGAGGTGGAAACAGTGAAAAATACTTTTAGACAGTATTCAACAAGTTATTATATATGTCACTAACAATGCAATATGTCAAGGATATTGCTATAGGATTATCATCGTCTAAAATGCCTTTAGAAGTCATTGAAAAAGCCGATGCTATTTCAGAAATTTGAACACAGAGTATTGAAAAATCTAATGAAACTTCAACTACGATTCGACAGGTTAAAAGGTTAATCCTTCTTTCAAAACCGCTAATTCCTTTTCGGCAATATAGCAAAACATAAAAGATCAAGACAATTGGCCAGAAACATATTTGAAAATCTAACAATTTTTGTAAATAACTGACCCACACCCATGGCCATGATCAAATATCTTTCGTAAGCATGCAAACAGGATGAGACGTGACACATTTTTTAACACGCCCATCCACTTTAATTAAAGTTGATCGTCGAGGGTGTAAAGACTCCTAAAATAAATGTGAAACGCACAAATACGAGAGAATTCTTAAAAAATCTAATAGACCTTCCTGTTTACCCGCATTTCACCCAATGCATGATATTTCGTGGTTTCCTATCAAGTATTAACTCGAGTTTCGTTATTATTAAGGGTAACAATTTTTCGTTTTTGTAGCGTAAGGCTATCTTATATGGACTTATGGTTAGTCTCATATACACTCTATCCCTGGTTACTGCTTGTAAAAATATGTTCACTTGCGTTAAAGATAGGATATCTAATTATCTATGACCACACTGTAAGACCTAATAATCTCTGACAACACATTAGAGAATTATAGTGTATACAGCTAATCACATTCTAAAATGCTGCATGCGCTATAATTACAATGATATAACCTATATGACTATTGAGTTACCTCAAAATCCTTTGTTTTATGAGGGGAGATTAACGACGCATTTATCTTTAAGATTTGGTATGATAAGCTTCTAATCATAAATCGCGAGATAATTGGCGGTTATAGTCGTATTCACAAATTGTGAGCTAATCTGTCGAATTTTGAATCAAAAACAAAATTTTGTTTTGATCTCATATTTTGGCCGGTGACGTCGATGAATTTCATAGAAATATTAGTCAATATGGGCGAGGAGTTTGTGGTTTTATCACAGCATCAATGATCGGCCCGTCTGGGCTGGTTCGACGACCATGAGTCTGGGTTTTATCATAGCATGATTCATATATGGAACATATAATATTACCCTAATATTAATTGAGTATGTTGCAAGAATAGCTGGTTAAACTTTATTGCTTCATCGCCACCCCTTCGTCGCTCTTTGTACAAGAACCCTACCACCAGCCCATCAATCATGCCTTACTAACTACGATAGCTACTAAACTAAGTCATAATAATATAATAACATTGTACGTTACAAGATTGGACTCTAACAGGCTCGCTTATGTTATCCTGGGGAACAAGGCATGTACTATCAACACTAAGAGTTAGAACTGCTTATATTTTCAGTAATGATTTTTGGCACTTCACTCGATGCAGGTAAATTCTAGAGGTTTAAAGGGTCTTAATTTCGAGTGGAATTATACACACTTCATATTCAAGCCATCAACTGTTCCTTCAATTTGAAGTGTGCATAATTCCACACGAAATGAAGACCCTTATATTTTTATAAGATTATACTGTCTACCCATAGTCTACCCGGGCACGAAGCTTTTTCTGTGCATACTCACTAGCACCAATTCAAGAGAGCCCCCTCCCCCCCGTGTTTCATGGCTTTAGCTACAATGTGTGCGTTACAACATGCATACTATGATTATAGATTTATAGTTGTAATTAAAAACGGTTTAACTTCCTTAGCGCCTCTTAATTTTGTATCACGATCGTGGATGAAGTTGAAGCTGCATGGGGCATTTTAGAGTGTAAAGTATCGTTTTTGGTCGCACAATTTCTCTAAAATAAGATCCTTGCGATCAGGACTCTCACAATTTAAATATGCATGTCATCGTCGAATAGCTTCGTATAGACGTATATTCTTACAATCTCTGCCAAAACGTGATATTTTACTTTAGATATGCCAAAATATGCTGCAGATTGTTCTAGTGTTTCCGCTTCCACTCCCAGACAATAGACACATTTCAAGAAATTGGTAATGAATCACGCTATATACGCCCGTGTCACAACTGTCAAACGTTATCTGCTGGGCTACAGAAGTAATTTCTCTTTTAATTTGTTTATATATTGGCTTATCTCGAGAGGAAACAGGGCAAGTTTACAACAAATAGATGAAACGAGACGGATTATTCGTGGGAGGGAGCCAAAGGTCTCAAGAAATGTCCAGCCAAAAAAGCCGATTATTTCCAGCTGCTTCTATATAATACAAATCGCTAAATATATATATTTCATAAACACATTGTTTTCCTATAATTGTTGCAGGTCAATCGTCGAAATTGAGTGGTTTGGCAAACAAGAACCATAAACGGAATGATCATTTTGCGTGAGTATTGCCAGGTGTTCAACTGTCTGACAATGGGGTTATGAGCTGCTGCCACACCGCATGCATGCATGGTGACATTTTATCATTGTGACAGAACGTCATGTTTGGCCGTTTGTCTCGCCAGATTATAAATAAAACCACTGCATATAAAGGGCTAATTATAGAGCAACGTGTTCTGTCTTTGGACCACCCAAAGTCTTTTGGTCTTTTGCACTTCATGTCAGGCTGTATGCAACAGCCCTGGGGAAATGAACACGTTCAATTTCGCGCGAACCGTTATCAATAAGAAATCTGCTTCATGTTACCATTCGCGCTACTTTTGTGGTTGGAAAGTGCATGCCATTGTTATATAAAAAAAAAGAATGTTCGTCAACGTTTCAGCTGAAAAACCTCCAGCTGAAGTATTCTCCGAGGAACATTTTTGTCTTTTATTAACATTACTCATTTTACCACGGAACTGGCCCGAGTGGTTTACTTTGGTAACGTGTAATCACAGAGAACCTGACTTATGACAACCTAATTTTTATTCTTGACTATCCACAATTTAGAGTATTAAAAAACTGACAAAAATCATCTGCACTGCTAATGGCTATGTATTATGCGTTCAAAAGGAATACAAGTTCACATATGCTTGGTTTGCAACACAGCATGAATAAACTTGTTACATCAGAAAGGATACCAGATTGAATACAATCGTTACATCAGAAAGGATACCAAATACCCGTTTGTCCGGCCATTAGCAATTATGATGAGTTTTCAGATTCACCTCCGGACTCCATCTATAAAAGATCATTATAGGTTTGTTCAGTTGCTACCATATTGCTAAATATTACATCACTTGTCGTATTCTGCCGCAATCTTTATAGCATATGGGATGCTACATAAGAATAGCAATACAATCCAATTTTTCAATTTTTTATACCCTCTGCAGAAGCTCGCAGTTGGCACAATTAACCAGCCTTCCTAGATGTTTGACCGATTCTTTATATAATCCAAGCTATATGAGATTATTTATTCGGACTACATATAGTTCAGAGTAAACCAGGAAGCATTGTTGCGGAAACATTTATGTTTTGCAATGTTTCCGCCCGTTTGCGGAAACATTTGATGTTCGGAAAGTTTGATTTGTGTTGTGGAAACATTGTTCGTAGAAAGCACAGATCAGTGGCACAGATAGAAAGTCATTAAAACCGAAGAATAAAAATGATGTAATCATACCTCTTCAGAATTTTCATCATGTCGTGAACTGCTTTCAGCAGCCGCCTTCATTTGACTCTGTCGTTTCTTCGCCTGGATCAACAGTAATTCATTTTAATATAATTTATCACCTCACAGTTCTTCTACGAACGACAAAGTCTTAATCGCATCCTTAGTATAGTTTCCTTGAAAATGTGCAAAGCAACTTCGAAATCTTCGATTTGCAAGAAATGATAAGCAAGACAAAGCTAGTGTAGTTTTCATACCTTTTCTTCTTTGCTGATCTTAATACGCATTTTCAAAGAAGACAGAGTAGTATCTAAAAAAGGTCAAATAGTTTACAAACACAGACACTAATATATCATTAAGAGGAAAATTCTCATTGTTCATTGTTCATACGACGTTGTTTTTCGTAACTAAACCTTTCTAAAGTTCTGAAATCTAAGCAAGGTTGAAGCTGAAGACTATGTTTGATAACTACACTGTTGCACTACCATGTGTTCATCGAGGCGAGACACCTACCGTATGTACGGTTGAGGGGCACATGTTAACACAGAAAGAGACAAAGACAAAGTTGTTTAATAAATATATTTAATATGAAATAGAGTTAAATAGCAATATTTTATCATTTCGTTTCTTTTACTAACGGCCCGATAACAACCAGATCTGAAGCATCATACACAACTACTTAACTGATTTGACCGTGAGTATAAAAGGTCTGGAACTAGCAGCGGAATGAAGCTTAATTAATTTCGACATGGTGTATCAAGTAATTTTAATGGGGATTCCTCTTTGGCCACTAGTCCCAGACCTGTGTCATCACCCTGAAAATAACCCAATAACCTCAAGCTCGTACCCAGAGCCATAAATACCATAATATATACAACAATAGCAACAACAGATTATTAAATACTAATGCACGGTGTCCATCAAGAACTAGAGCTGCTCCAATAAACGAATAACGAATGAACTAACAATTAAGAAGCAGAGGCAAGAGGAGAATGATTAGTTTAGAATGATTAATCTCAGCAATTTTCAGGTCAATTTCAATTGACGAAATATATATCGATTAGAGCGCATGAAATTAGTTTCCATTACTTAGTTTCATTAGAAGAGTGTGCACGGGTAGATATACATCTTGTTCATTACATGCATGCATGTGTCTATATTCCCAATGGGTAACAGGCAATTGATAATGGGAAACCATTGGTTGATTCAAACGCACAGATTAAGATCAATTGATTTTGACCAACGAGCGCAAATTCGCGAGAGCAGGTTGTAATAAATTAATGTTCATTATGGTATTGCATTACGTAGTATATATTAGTTACATGATTTACACGTGATTCTTACTGTTTAAATTTTTAAATTAATACGTTGATCAATTTAGATTTTGAGCTAAATTCAACTGATTTCGTCTTGTGACGTTGATTGATGAGCTATAAATAAATAAATAAAGGAATAGCTTTAGCCTGGCTTTTAAGGTAATAAGCATTTACGGTTAGCTGTTGTAGTCAATTAACAGTATTACCAGTTATTGATATAATTTTGAGTAGGTATTTACCCCCAAAAATAATTTGTTTACTAATGTTCTGTTCAACAGGGTAAGTTGATATTCTATATAGTTGAACGTCAAATTGATTTTGCACGAAAATTGATGAATTAACAGCGAATGTTAAATTTATAACTCTTTTTTAAACTTGCATCACGATTTAGAGCATGATCATTATTGTTTATGAACGTTTTTAATCCTCTGATTTCAAATGAAAGTAAGAAATTAGTGAAATAGTTTTTTAATAGAGTCACTTCGCAAAGAGTTTCTATCCTATGCATCAACCATATAGAGGCGATGTATATTGATTCTGCGAACACGAACCATTGTTTATCTCCGACTATTTACTACAAATATCCCCTCCATGTTCTGCCCTATCTTCCTTACAGAATACAGCTAGTTTTAGCCCGTTCTAATCATCCACTACCCTCAATTCTATCCAATTCCAACTATCTACTGCTGCAGTTCCACCACGTTCTAAATTCTAATTATCCACTGCTTTAAATCTGTCTAACTATATCCACGAATTCAGTTTTATCACATTCTAATTATTCACTGCTTCATAATCTTTTTACTCTCACTTATACATATCTTTGTATATACTGCATGGCTAGGCACACATGCTGTATATAACACGACCAAACAAACAAATTTTATTGCTAAAAAGATAGAAGTTTACCGTCATCTGAACCGTCGCTCTCTTCATCAGCTTGTTCCTCGATCTTAAAATGCACGAGGGTATGTTAAATAGCACAACGTGAATATACTTGGATACAATGAACTCAAGTATTGACATCAGTATATAGAGGTAGAAATATAAGTTTTTTAAACATATAGCTAATCTTAGGGAATATTGTTAAAATTGGGGGATGTTATGGCGTTAACGTGAACGTTCTGGAATTTCGTTACAAGTGAGATAATGGATTAATGGACTAATGGTATTAGATACAACTATAAAATCAAACCTCTTCTTCCTCCTCTTCTTCCTCTTTATCGCTGTTCGATGGTTTATTTTCCACCAGTTCTTCACCTGCTTCCACTTTCTCGCGGACATGCAGGAACAGCGACTGAAAAATAAGACGATAAAAAAATTCCACCATCAAACACTGTATTTGCATGAGCTTATGCATGTACAGTAAGTACTCTATTCTCACACTACCTGTAGCGCCACAGAATCTTCATAAATCTATAAAATAAATTGACATGTGAATTACGTGGGTACCGTCATTTGAAAAGAAAGTGCATGCTAATCATATCAGGTATTGCTGATAACGTATATCGTCATTACTTAAATAAAGTATTAAAATGTATACGCTGTGACGTATTTGTCATCAAAAAAGCAACTCTAATGGTTGTAATATGTCATTATACCGATATTATGAGTAGGAGATTATGTGCTATAGACCAAATACCACATATTATATATAAAAAACTTACAATTGAGCCTTCGATATTATATGTTTGCGCATTTCTACACATCAACATAAAATCGCCTTGCAGATCATCCATAAAGCGATAACGATGCCCATTAATTCTTTCCTTCGTTAAGTAAGTAGAATCGTGTTAGCATAATAGAACTTTATGTGTGTATATGAGAACAATATAATACTGTACTTACTGTACGTCTTAAATACAGACAAGTATATTAGAGAACATATTATTTCAAGCATGACCAAAGCATGCCAGTATGTATACAAGCTTTATACAACTTTTCGATAAATTTGAACAACAAGAGTTTTCAGGACGATTATGACTGAATTTTTACATAACGAAGAGCTTGCGTCATATCTTACTTTGATCTTCTTGATGTCGACTGGTTGTTTGATAACCTGATAATAATCTGGCAAATCCTTCTTTGAAGGTAATACTGTGAAGATTTGTGCTAATGGACGATCATCTCTAAATATATGCATAGTGTATTAACTTGATAAACATATTAGCGTATGGTATTTGTTTTAATATAAAGGGGCGCATAATGTGGTCATTCTTGCACTTGAGTTAACTGCATCATCCTAGCGCACACAATTAGGATTTATCTTTATGTACAACCCTGACCAAGACCATCGACTACAGGCGAGTTAATCTATCGCATGAAACATCCACCTGTAGGTCTCTGAATGCATCCCCCCGAACCCCCTAAAAACAACGTTCAATAAACGCTAAATGCTTCTATTGTACAGGGAAAAATATCAATTCAGGGGAATTACCAACAAATGATGACTCCTAATCGCTGTCAGTTAGTTATGTATAGTTATGAGCTATCAAAATAATACACGTACAAATTTAGAAATAGATCTTACTCGTCTCTGTAATGAATAATATATTTCATTATTTTCTTCATTTTCTTCCTCAAATCAGCCGCAATGGGTGACAATTTCACTACAAGAAAAATCATTTTCAGAAGGAATTCAAACAATTTTGACCGTATAAAAACCCTTCCTATGTCAAATTACCTTTGTCTACATTGGGTCGACCACGTTTTTTCTTTGATGACTGGAAAACAAAAACATTTTATATTTCAGACATCTTATGAACGGCTGCGACTGACCACAGAACCGTACTGTTATTGCAAAGTGATTAACCTTGAGTGTTTAAAATGTGCTTATCAATCTGTCTTACTTTTTGACTAGAAGTTTCACCATCCTCGTCATGACGTTTCCGCTTTCTTGCTTTTTTAGTTTTTTGCCTCTCTTCCATCTCATCAAGACAGCCATCTTCTATCGCCTGCAGAAAGAAACAAAGTCATCGTCTCATTATAACTGTGGTGAAAAAATGCCTTTCATTCCAGAAATTATTGATCCCACCGCAAACAAGACGCAATGAAATATCCTTTGGAATATTTGCATTGGGGGATCTTGGGGAAATTAATACGGAGCAACGTTTGGGGAATCCGAGTATTACAGTATTACACTAAGTCTGACCATGATAAACGTGCGGTGCTGTAAATGACGAGATACATACATGTATACACTGTGTACACGTACAATTTAAGGTCAATCCTGCAGGACATGGTGGATGAAATGAGGGTATATAAGGATATATTACAGTATAGCATACAATACCTTAAGCCACTGTCTTTCCGTTAGTGGTTCACTATAATCAACTGTCTTCTTCTGTCGACTGCCACGACCAAATAGTTTCTCTTCTTCATCTTCATTTGTCAATCGTTCAACCTACACAAAATATATTTCAAAGGGATTGGCAACCCACAAATACCGGATCTATGAGTAAGATTGTACCACGTTTGAAAACACTTAATATTAGGGTCGCGGAATCAGCTTTGCAGCATATATGGAGACTGGTTTAAATAATTTGTACATATTTTAAGGCTTCAACATTGTGAAAATAACTCGAGGATTCCATCTTCGGTGAATAGGAATTTCTCTTACCTCGGCATCATCTTTAATGATCCAACTCGGCAGTTCATTACTTCGCATCAAACGTGGTTTCCCGCCACTTTTCTCCTCCTGGAAAATGTTTAATCATTAAAAAATGATGAAAAATTTAAATGGCTATCTTAAAAACTAAACACATGTGGTTGTGGAATGATGAACATGCAATACTAAGAACAATTGTGTTGTGGAAACTTCAAACTTGTACGAAGCTTACCAGAAGTTTCCTTTCAGTGTCCATTTTCTAAATGAAAAAATACATCCATGAGTGTGAGTGTAAGGTTCAAGGCTGTTGAACTGCGTCAGTCACCGGAGAGTAACAAAGCCTAAAATGATTTCTGACTATGCCAGAGATACTGCGAGGCAGGCCAATCCGGCAGGGACTTCAATCCTTTGAGGTAAAATAAAACATTCACCTGAAATATCTCAAACTCTTCAATACTTCTGGCAATCATTTGGTTTACGGTCTCATCATCTGGGATTTCATTTTCCTCCTGTTGAAAAAGTTTCAAACGGTTAAACAAAATGGTTAATTCCTGCGGTAAATATAGTCATGCAGGCGGGTTACCAGAGTACAATAATGTTATCGGATTAAGACCACGGCAGCTGACGACAATCATACGATGGGTCGAATGTATTTTTGAAGGACGTCCAAGAGGATGGACGCACAACCTACCTCCTCATCATCTTTGTCGTTTTCAAGCAAAGCCTCCAGAAAAGCTCTACGCTCACCAGATGTTGAGTTCTGATTAAACATTCCTGCTTGAATGACCTGGGGAAACATACACACATACGTTAACACTTTAATTTAAAGAAAATGAGAGTTAAGTGAAGGCAACCAGGTCCTAATGAAGCAAGACTTCTACTCGTAAATAATAACTTGTAATGTTTGGCCAAAATGCCGATGAATGCCACAATGGCAACAATTAAGGTTCAAACTCTTGAAAGTCATTAATAGGAATAAATAAGTACTGTATTAAGTACAGTACGCAAAAACCTAACATTTAACAAAACAATAATAACCTTTTCATCGATATTGAGTTTATATCTAGCAGCTGCTAGAATGGTTTCTTCAACACTGTTGACAGTAACCAGACGAAGAACTCTGACTTCATTTGTTTGACCGATACGATGTGCACGATCTTGCGCTTGCAGATCCTAGGAGAACAAAAAAGAAAAACAACAAAAACACACTTAGTAAAAGTTAGTAAAACTATGCCGGTTAGTTGGCGTCTATCCACCATGACCTCTGTGACCATCCATGGGCTCTCGATCAACCACACACTTCGTTCATCACATTTAAAGAAATGCAATATATAATACAGTATTTAACACAATAGCCGGCACACGCAAACCTTTGAGACGGACGAGAGCATGCAGTGGTTTTGCAATGAGTACAAACCTGATGAGGGTTCCAATCACTGTCAAATATAACAACTGTATCTGCCACTTGAAGATTCAATCCCAAACCTCCCGCTCTGGTACTCAACAGAAACACACAATAAATGGAATTGGGAGCGTTAAAGAGTTGCAAAAGATGTCCACGATCTTCAGCTTTGGTTGTTCCGTCCAGACGTAGATATCTTATCCCTGCATTAACATTAAGAACGTAAGATTTTTATTTTCTACAACTACAGTTGGGCCGTTTGGTAGCTATTCAGGTTAGAAAGCCACCGTACCTTTAAAATTGAAGTAATCCTCCATAACTGTCATCAAAGACGTCATTTGACAGAACAACAGTATCCTATAATTCACCGAGAAAAGTAAAAATGTTGTTGAAGCAGTTTCGTTTTCTTTCTGTCGTAATTATGTTACTTTCCTATAACTATGGTATATTTACGTTTAATTATTTGACTACGCTTACATACCTATGGTTTGTGCTTATCAATTTCATCAGAATTCGATCGAGAAGTTCAAATTTCCCGGCACATCGCACAAGCTGTGGTCTAAAAATTTCAACATTTACACAGTTATCGATCGCTTGATTTTATGTAATTGTGTGGTAGCTAATTATTTCAATAAATCAGCGTACAACGGCTACACATCACAAAGTACTTGATGTCTGAAACTGAAACATACCCTTGCACCAGGCCTCCGGTAAAACCAAGATGCTCAGCAATTGATTCCTATTGTGAATAGAATGAAGGACGAAAACGACTATTAAAAAACCGCAGTCTTCAAGCAAAAATTTGGTAAAAATGAACTTATGCCACAGGAGCTGGTTGCATAAATCCTGTTGTAGGTAACTTTTAACTATAGTTAGTGGCAGAATTTGCCAATCAGAACAATGTATTTTTAGTTAACTACTATTTAACTACTTAAAATGTAGTTAAGAGTTTTATACAACCGGCCCCAGATTGGAATATAATTGGAATATAACTAATTGACTTTTCTATTGACCTCAATATGTTGGAATACAAATGGATGGTTACAAATCTTTCTCAACTGCATGATAGTATTCATCAATGTTTTAGCTCCACCACGACCCTGGGAACGTAAGTAAACAAAATCACATTATTACAGTCACCATGCCAGGAAATCCCCACACCTAAAAACACCACCCAAAGAAATTTTCGCGGATATTATTACAGTATCAATAAAGATTTCTACCTTTTTATCTTTCTCAGAACCATCTGTCAATAACACTCCTTTCTTGTACATATGTTGATACAGCAATTTTTGTAAATCGGACATGTCGCACTTGATCACGTACTCGGTCTACGAATAATAGACCTCAAATCAACCTTTGCTACGTACGTTCAACAATGAAAATAAAAGATCTTTGTTACCTTTTCTGGCAGCTGAGATTCTACTTCTTTCTTCAAACGCCGTAACAAAAATGGACGTAGAACCTTAATAGAGAATTACACAACTGATTGCAATGATCTACGCTGATTTGTCTCTGCTAAAGCCATTTGGTGTATGTGGGTTAGGAGATTTGAACCAGGATTTAATGTTTATGTGTGTCTCGACCTACTTTATGCAAACGTCTAATGATGAGCAAAGTTTCTTCTTCGTTCAACTCCACCTATAAGGAAGATTGCAATGAAGAACTGATATATTTGAAACAAGAAACATCAAACGTTACAGACACAGGAATTTTCATGAGATTCCCCGTCCGCATTGCTGTAACCATAGCTGCAACATTGAGCTACCTTTTCTCCGGTCATTGCAAAAGGTGCATTAAACCACTGATCAAATGTGTTACAACATTTGAAGATGGATGGCAACAGGAAATTCAGCAATGCCCACATCTCAGGAAGACGATTCTGAAAAGGCGAAATCACGTATTATTCTCATTATCCCAATACTAATTATTGTTTCTTCCTACAAGATTGCAAGCATTTTTACTAATCTACGAGGTATATAAAAGTAGGATGAATTCAGCTGTCGTTTGTGAATATTCTCAGTATAAACAACTTCAGATCGAGGGTACGGCAAGATAAGGGTTGGTGGTTTGGTGCAAGTGCTACATGCAGGAGTTTAGACATAAAAGGCAGTGTGATAAAATTTTTGACGAGCAGCACCTTTTCTTCAAAATATTCCTAATCACTTGATTGCATGAGAATCGAACGAACGCAACAATGAATGAGAATTGCATTATTTCTTCAACATAGTTATACCTGTAAAGGTGTACCAGTCAGAAGTAGCCGATGAGGCGCAGAGTAGTATGTATTTAACACTTGAGTTAATTTACAATGATGATTCTTCATTCGATGACCCTCGTCAATAATCATGTACTTCCATCGCACCTACATTAAAATAGCATGTCGGTAGAAAGCAGTTGTAATCTGAACTATAGTTAGGGCTGGGGTAACAACACATTACCTTGGCAAGTACAGCTTTGTCTTTCATCACGTATTCGTACGTTGTAAGAATAACATTAAACTTGCCAGTCCTGATCTGATTGGCTAGAGAACGTCGACAGTTCGGTGATCCCTAGAAGAACAACAAATATTTCGTTGTTCAATTCACCATCTTCAGTCTTTACAAAGCGTCGCGCCGATGACTTTCAAGTAAATCCACATGCAGTATTTTTTCTGACCAAAACATCTTCATTTTACCTTATAACATATCGAAATTATCGAAGGGCACCATTTTCCAAACTCCAGAGTCCAATTAGATAAAGTACTGAAATTACAAAATAACAAAATTGTTTTTTTCAGAATTCAGAATGATAATCTACAGAGGTAAACATGCAGTGTTTTGACCTGAAGGTATAATTACGTATGAACTTTCCCAAGCTCTTACTGTAAAACATTATTTTCCCCGATATTCAGCCCTCCACCTCTATACGATGTATCAATACTTACGATAAAGGAACGATAACCAGGAATGGCCCCATAATCTTCTTCTTCTCAATCAAATACGACAACAAAGCGATTGTTTGAATTGTCTTTCCCAGACCCATCTCATCCGCAAGAATGCCGTTCAAGTTATTGTTATGTAAGGAGACCAGCCACTCCAAACCACTGATCTGTGAAGAAACAACAGTATGAAATATGGTTCAGCTTTACGATTATATTTGTCATTCGGGATTTTGTAAGATATGTTTAATTTAACATTTCTTTTATTGCACGTCCTAATCTAAATACTACTAATCTAACTATTGCAGACATACATACATACGATACCTGATACTCTTTCAATGTTCCACCAACGAGAATATTTGGCTGTTGTTTGACATCTTCCTTCAATGCATGGGCAATGTTATAGTAATTCTTGCTCTCGTAAACCGTTGTACTCCTATACAAAAAAAAAACAGGATGAACACTTAGTAATCATTATGTTTAAATCGTATTGAACTCCAAAATATACCATTGTGATTGGCCAATTCTGTTACCACCTGACCTCGAAGTAGTGCATGAACATTGCTAATAGATTATAACCGACAAAGAAACAATTGGTTTGGGTGGAATGGTTCATTTTCTACTTTATTCTCTCGATCTAAATGACGCTTCATGGAAACTAAAGTAGATCTATATGTAAACGAACATACTCAATATCATCTTCAGCACCATATTCCTCCTTCCTTCTCTCTTCCTCAGTTTTGCTTTTTAATGTTTTCTTTTGTCTTTCCTCTCCATCGTCATCATCAGCCTCGTCATCGTCTTCGTCATCATCTTCGTCTTCATCAACATCATCTTCATTGTCAGAATCTTCTTGACGAGGAGCAACTTGATAACTTAATAAAGAAGTCAAATCATTGAAGGTATAAAAATACATGTAGGACGAAAGAATACATTATTTCCATGTGATAATATTTCCTCTAATAATACTGCATTTCATGTAATTGTACTAGCTACATTTCATGAAATGCGCTCACTGTGTGCATGTGTTACATGTCCTTCCCCCCCCTTCATCCAACCCTATTTTTATTTTAGATAGAGACACAGCGTTAGCAAGTTGTTAAATTGAAACTGTATTCCATGTTTCTTGCACATGCCTTAGACATAAACACCAAAGGTGCCCATGCATAGCATACTGCTTTATGACACTCATGTACGTAGTAATATAAATACGCTAAAACATACTTGAGATTTTGGGCCAGCCATTCTTCGACTTTACTAGCAGTTGGTGCATCATTGCCAGTCAACATTTCACCAGTTTCTGTATTGACAACAGCCACATGTTCCTCAGGATCCATACTATCAATCATATCCCCTAATTCACCCTCAAGTTCTCGGCGTTTCTTGCGATGTTCTCTCTTCTTTCTTTTGATATCCATCCTATGTTTCTTCACAAGCTGGGTCAAATTACTGATGTACTCATCAGTTTGGCCAAGAAGGTAAGCCAAACGCTTGTCTTTCTTTTGATCAATAAGTTTACGATAACCCTCCTCATCTTCTTCCTAGAATCACGCGAATTGCCAAATAGGCGAAGAAAATAAGTAGTAGAAAGCTACTATACCCTATAGTACACAGTCATAGCTAATTGATCACGAAATACTAAGATATCCGAGACAAATATCCAAGATTCAAAATTTACTAACCATAAGACGTCTCATCCTTTCTTTCTCTAATCGTTCTTCTTCTTTCTTCCTCTCTCTATCACTGTTAGCATGATAACTCATTATAGCTTTGTTAAGTTTTCCAATCTTGGAAATATTACCACGATGAAATTCTCGAAACTCCCGACCATGCGCAATAATGGACGCCAAATAATCCTGATGTTTCAGTCTTCGCTTTCGTTCTTGCTCTATCTTCTGTTGTTTCTCCAGTTTTTCAGTTATCCTAGGTTATAGAGAGCGCGCATAGGTAAGATTGCATGGTTCATGTTCTCTCAACAGTTTCAATTAAATCGACACCTCATAGGGCAATGACAAAAGAGAGAAACAAAGAACTTTTAAAAAGAATGCATACTACACGTATGTAATATATGTAATAGATTCTATTAAAACAGATTTCTTCCTCCCTCCCTCATGATTGCCTATTGCAAGGAAATTTCCTTGCATTGCGGAGGCCCTGCATAAAACACAATAATATACAATGTAGCGGTGTATTCAGCAGAGAGAACTTGGAGGTCTGGATGCATATATACAACACATTTAGGTCTGCAGTTGTACCTGGCTTCTCGCAAAGATTGCTTCTTGTTGCGTTTGTAGGCTTTTGAGTTGAGCGCAGTTTCCAACGTTGTCTCTTGACGAGTTGACGACACAACATTGGCACGCAACTTAAATACAAATATATTGATTTAATTTAACGAAACAAACACAATGCTGACAATTAAATCATTGCACTTTCCATTATTACCTGCTTCTGAAAGTTTAGAAGCCTCAATGCTTTCAGTTCAATGGTAGCTTGCAATCGCAAATCTTCTGCCAACGATTTTAATGGCAGCCCCTCTAATTCATGAATACGTAAGGTTATTCGAGCCTGAATTCTATGAAAGATAATGAGAAGAGATGTTACAGCTAGGTCTACGCTTAGGTCAAAATGGGAGAAGTGAGATTTTCAAATATTTTCAAACATTACAATATATGTACCTGCTTTCTCTTTCTCGAAGTATTGCAACCGGATCTAATCCGGCAGGTTTTGCAACAGGAGCCAATCTGGAACGAGCAGGATTCTGTATTGTGGCCAAAATCTGCGATGCTGTTGCAGGTCTTGATGGGGTTTGGGCAGGACGCACAGCTTGGGCTGCTTGCGTAACCAGAGGTTTCTGTTCTTCTTCTTTTGTTTTCTCTTGTTTTGGTTGAGAAGTGGTTGCATTAGCTGTACTTGCTGCTGGAGAACCATAGTTATTGAACTCATTGGCCGTGTTATCAGATGGAACCTTTTGTGCTATAAAGAAAACAATTTGAGACTTAATTGCAACTTTATTCACCAGTAAAAGTGAGCTTAAGATCTGTTGAATATGTTTTAAAAATCCTTTCCCAACAGCAATCATGTCAGCCCCAGATAATTCATTTAGCTTACCTTGACCTGATAATTCTATATGACATATATCACAAACACTTTATTCATGAATAATTGCAGTTGCTTATGTTCACAGTATGATAAAAAATGGATTGAATACTATACATACCTGTGCGATCTGCTGGAAGAGGTGCACTTGACACTCGAGATGTAGGCCCTTTACTTTGGATTGACATTTTAATCTGTTCTGTGAGTGGTTGGTTATGTGACAACAGTTTATATGCCATTATTTGACTTCTCAATTGATTTATTTGCTCTGAAGAAAAACTTGTAGTTTTTGCAGGATTTCCAGGCATAATAGAATGTTCTTCATTGCTGAAACCTTCATGACTAGTATTCCCAGGCTGCTGTCCAGATGGTGCAATCATGTTCCCCATCGGATTATTACCTTCATTCGAAAGACCTTGAATCTGTTGCATTTGTTGAGCATTACGAGCAAATGTTAACAATGTGCTATATCGAGGATCTGACTCTAAACCCTTCTCTTGCATAGATTGAATGGCCTAAAATGTGGATCAAAATCTGTAACTTCCCAAATACAGTTTATTTGGTCATTTTAGAGTAAAATAGAACATTGTATACCTTGCCAAGAAGTTGCATGTTCTCAGGAGTGTATGAGAACTGTGGTACTCTTTGCAAACCAGGATCCCCAGATGACATCATTTTGAAATATTTCTTTATTCTGTTGTTATTTAAAAGAAAAATGGTCTGCTTATAATGGTATACTGTAGTAAATAGGTTTTGGTTAAGAGAGCTAGCATCAGTTAGTATCCACCTAACATCCCTGCTCATAGGTGGAAACACCAAGATGTTTTTTGGCCTATTTAGGCAGTTGGTGAGATCTTCAAAAAAAATCATGAATGCTGACTAAGGATGAGTATAATTTTGCCGATAAAAAGTTCATTGGATGTTATAAAAATGTTTCAACTTTCTATTTTATCAATTTTTCACATCATGGTTTTCATTGTGACTGTATTTAAGGATTGTTCACTTTTTTAAGAGCATCTTTTATGAACTATTTTGCAGTCTAGTTTTCATACAAAATGGCAAAATACGAAGTTGTATGGGGCATCATCCAGTGAGGATGTAGCGGTGTGTTCATATACGACCCAGAGAGTGAAATCTCACTGTTTAAAGCAAGGTCTTGAAAAGAAGAGCAGTCTTTCTCACAATGATGGCAATTCAGACCGTTAAAAAGAACTATTAAGGTCCATATAAACGGTCCCCAGACCCCAGATATTATTCAAATTTCAAAATACTTTGCCAGGGACCAGGGTTTTGACATCTTATATTGCTAATAGATTTCGATAAATTTGTGGCATTTTGTGTCTTAACACAAATCTAAGAAATGTTCTACAGTTTTCAAACATATAAAAGAGATTATACCCTATAGAAACAACAAGAGTATGTACATATGATCATCCAACTCGATTTGAGAATACGAATGATTTTTGTATATACTGCGGTGAAAAACGCTGTTTCAGTTCAGATTTTAAAATGTATGCATTTATAGATTTAAAGTATATATCTAAAATATTATCTACAAACCTTCAAATTGGCCAACACACCACTTTATATTCTTTATTATGTACGATACCCTTTTCAATTTTCAATGAGCGGCCATGTCTTCCTTTGAGCTTAGAAGCCTCGATTGCATGCAATTTTAGGACAGCCTGACGTGCAGGCAGCGCAGGCTGGGCCAAGCGACCCTAGTTTGACAATCAAAAAGACCGTCTTTTGGATTGTCTATGGTTTGACCAACACTGCAAAAATGGTATTTATAAAGTTTCAACCCGAAAATCTAATCACTGGTTCACAAATGTGCATTTCTGTATCGCTACCAAAGAGAAAAATATTGAATAACGCATTCTGCAATCAAAGACATATTTTTTATAATTCCACCTGATCCTACCTTTAGGGCGCCTCTGCTGTTACGAGAAGGTTTTTTACACAGTGGAAAGTGGAAACCGAAATTGAGCTGCTTCAATATATAATGTTACCTCCAGAATTCATATTTTATGTACGAATATTTTAGCAATTTATCCTATTGTCTTTATTCATTGACCTATTCCTTTTTACACTAGCCACACTTTCACTGCTGGATTACCGTTTCTTGTTGATACATATAGGAAATATCAAGAAAACATAATGATGAATGAAGGAAATAAAAAACTTCAAGAGAGTGTGTGACTGAAGTTATAACTGTCAAAGTACGTTTGTTAAACAGCAGCTCAACGTCAGTGTCAATGACGCCTGCAGTTGGAAAGAATATTGCATCTAAAGACATAGCTGCATTGCAAACTACAAGAAATATTAAGCTTTGAGACAAGGAGTTACGCCATTTGTTGTAGCCATGGCAACGTAATGAATGTCCGATAGTCTTGCTGATAACAAATGTCTGCACAAATACAAGTATTACTCTAAATATAAATTTAATTATGAATGAAATTGAGGCTCCATTGGCAGAAGTGAAATCGACCAGCGCAATGTGGAAAGTGTTAGAAGCGAAGTAGCCTCCTGCAGCGATGAACAATATGCCTTCAGTCGGTGTGAACGGTATCCAGTCATAATACGGATGATAATTATACAATACCCACGCTATTGACCAATTAGAAAACAGCATTGCAGATACAAAGATCACGTTACAAATATCACGTACAATAATCAATTCGTACCAATCATCTGTCGTTGCATGTAACTGACCAACAATCAATACTGTTAGAGCGAGAAGCAGACCAGTAAGCAAACCTCCTTCGATGTTTGAAGAAAGCTTTCTCTTTTGCGATGATACCATTGAAGACTCACTGGTACACTCAGTCTCAGAACGACTTTTTCCAAGGGTTGTGTCAATGCTCAAGTTTTGTTTCCAGCGTAACATTTTTGTATTTGGTGAATAACGTTGCATTTCATTGTTGGATTCTTTGATGTTGTTGAAAATGTAAATAAGAGTTACCAACGTGATAACTGTAAATTGCAAGTATAGTGGCTGGAAAGTATCCAGAATTCTTCCCAAGGCATTCTCTGCTTGGTCACAATAGCTTATAGTACTGTTTGACTTTCGCGTTTCCTGAGTGTCTTTCCTAAATATCTCATGAATAAGCACCGAGATATTTGAGCCAATCATGTGAACCACTGCCAGTTTTACAGAGCTCCTTGCGAGAAATGACGCATTTAAAAATATAACCTGGAACAATAACTGCGTGAGGACAAAAGTAGCTTCAACCAAAAGATATATACTATGAACATGCTCCGTAGTACCGCATCGCAACTGTAATGCGACTTGTAAAATGTCTATTAGGAAAAATGCACCACCAAATACGTAGAGAGAATAGAACAAAGGACGTTTGTAAGAGATTGATTTTCTGTCAAACACAAGTATGTGGCTGTCATCTTTCATGAGAAAAAGGCAGGCAGTCCATAAAATGGCAGGTGTCATATAGGATATCAACAGGATATTGACATCACCTTCCTGTACAAAATGAGACGTTTCTCCATTATCTTTTCCGAAAGATAATTCTTTTATGGCAAACAATACAACGAAGATAACAACAATAGCATTAAGATAAACTATAAGAAAAAAACTTTGATCAAAGTCATCGTATTCTTTGGAGTATGGGTAGCAAATCGCTGCAAGAATGTCCTTTATTTGTTTTAAAATACTGGTTTGTTGTGGCGTATCTTCCTTGCTTGGTTGCACTTCGTTATCTAAAATATTAGTATTAATTTCGTCCGCCATGTTGCATGTGCCTTTATAAAGCTGGTACAAGAAATTTATTTTACATCTTTAATCTTTGTTAACCACCTGTCACGCAGTAAGATGAAATAAATAAGCAAGCGTACCTGTAGTGAAGATTTAACCCATTTGATCGAAATCTTGTTCAAGATCAATATTGCAAGAAGTTACGTTGAAAACAAGTTACAATTTTTCGAATTAATAATGTTCCGGCGAAATACTCCAAAATTAAAACTTCATGCATGTCACAACTCCCTTTCCAGTTCATTACACGGTACCTCGCTTTTTGAATAAAACGATAGACTTGATTTCTATTTTGAACTTATCCACCGTTTAAGCTAAACGGGCTTGATACAACCGGCCCCAGGTATTTAGATTAAGTATGGTAACTTGGTTGCGTTTTTAAAACATTTTTGGGACGCCTTTAACCTAGCGAACTTTATGTTCATTATAAGGCGGATGCGCCCGTAGTTCTGCAAGCGCCATGCGCCCGTAGTTCTGCAAGCGCCATCGCGCGGGATTCCCATTCCTCCTATATGCAATGTCTGCCTACGCAACTGGTGAACAGCAAGTACTAAAGTACTAAAGTACTAAAGTACTAGATTTACGAGAGAGGCAAATGAGGATATGACGGTCTAATAAGGATGAAAGATAAGAGGTAAAGCAAGGATGAAACCGTATAAATCCGACAACAATGAATGGCTAAGCGATCCTCGATACCGAAAGTGGTCAAGCATAATTATATATGTCGGCATGTCGCCCGCATTGTAAATCATGCACGGCTCTATAGAAAATACTTGAAAAATAACTAATCTATCAAAATTCATTTTAGATTTGCGCATTGCTACGCATATATAAGAACAGCAAAATATAGCTGTCACTTCAGAATCGCATAGGGTTAAGCCCCCGTTAGACTAGCTGAGACCGATGCAGATATCCATTTTATCCTCCTTGTGTATGTAAGTTCAGTTAAGCAGTACATGAACAGATTAGCTCACTTTTTTCGCCAATCTTATACAACTGCTCAACTGTGCAACTGTATAGAATTATAATTCAATCAATAACATATATATGACAAGAAAGAAAAAATAACGCCGGGATGAAAATCCCCCCTGCATTAAAGGTCCGGCTGTGATCCTCATCCCTGCAATCTCACGATCTTAACTTAACACATTCCTTTTCGACTGCGCATGAAAAAAGCGATATTTGACCAGGCCCGATTGATATGGCTTGTCAAACCGCTATTGTCTTTGGACTCATAGGTCAGAGATATGTGATTTTTTCTCACTTGAAAAAACCTGAACAAAACATCTACCAGTGTCGATCGTATTTCCACCTGCTTTATTGAACGTGTCAATAAAAACATTGTCATTGATTTTTTCTTTGTTTGCTAACATATCAGTGAAGAAGAAAAAATAGGAATAAAATAAAGAATATTCTCTATAATTTCCTAAGAATGCCAAGTAAAGATCGAGGGACAAAAGGCAAGTTCTCATTGAGTTACTGTTCATCGTGTTTTTATTCAATATTTCAACCATTTTCACCGTCAAATTCACGCCGTGATGGAAACACATTAAGCCTTCTCTACCTGATCTGCTTAACAACAATCGGAGTGGTTTTAAATATTTCAAGATGGCTTCAAAAAGATCGTTTCTCAAAGACAAACATCGTTACTCATGATCACATAAGTGGATTTTTGATGACATGTATTTTGCCTTCACTTATATGGATGTTATATTACACGGTCAAGACGCCTGGCAAGTCTACAGTGGAATTTCTAAACTCGTCTGTGTATTACCAAGATCCTTTCATTAGCGGAGTTTACTTCTTTGGAACAGGCAGTATTTTCCTTCATATTTTACAGATCGCATTTTATATTGAAGCCAAAACAGAAATCATCAGACTGCTCTTTACTGTTTTAAACACCTTATTCATAGTGACACAAATCATTTTCCTTCGTAAATATTCCAAAGCTAGTTATCAAGATGATTCAATGATTCGCATGGCATTACTTCATCTTCTCTCAACCAACATAATCTTGTTTTGTCATATGTTAATGTCTCAATCGCATCACAGTGCAGTCAAGTCTATAGACCACAATGGCAAAACGCTGCGTATTGGCAAAGTTTTGAATCACGTCTATCCGTTCCTTTATCCATTCCTGATCGAATTCCCATTGTCCTCACTCGGTGCTATATATAGATTATGGAGTGATCTTAAAGAACTGGAACCCAAACCAGATGATATCTATATTGACGACGAGTTGACTGAAATCAACACAATGGACTCAGTAATTTTAGCACCTGGTGAAAAATTTCTGAATCCGGAAAGAGACATCAGAAAGCCATCAAGCCCCATGAGTCCATTCCAATCACCAAGGATAAGGAAGTCTACGAGCAATATTATCATACAGCAGAGTAAATGTGATATTATGAGGAGATGTGTGGGCTTAGGATTGTTATTTGGGGTCATATTTTCTGTTTTCTTCCTTACTGTTGTTGGCGTCACCACAATGCACACGTCAGCTACAACAGTTCGTATATTTTTTATGACAAATATGGCGTACCTGACGTTCACATGCATCTCATGTTGGATTATTCTCAAGGGATTACTCAGTCAAATGTATTGTTGGTTTGATTATGGTGCTGTTGACGTGATGTTATTACTCGCACTCATAGCGGTACTGTTTCACCAAGGTTTTATATTTACTGCATCAATAGCTCAAATCTACATCTCAATTTTACCATGTTATATGCTGACTTTATCTGTCATGGAGATAATACAGTGTATGCTTCAAACATCAACAGTTATCAGAGCCTTACGTTTTCGTATTGGCTATAGATCAAGTTTGGTACGCGAAGCCTCTCTGTTTTTGATGATATGTAATATTATCATTTGGTTACAGAGATCTTTCTTAGTACCTCAGACACCTTTTCTCTCATTGGTTCAAAGCAATTTCTATGGCAAAGCATCTTGGGATGTAGTATTTCTTCTGACTTATCCATTCCAAGCATTTTTTCGCTTCCATTCAACAATATGTTTATACAATATATGGTGTGTTTTTAACGAGTGAAATAATGTGGAGGTATTGAATGATTTGAATCGACATTTGAATTTGACCTCATTATGCACAATCATGTAACTAGAATTGTACTTTGTTTTTTAATATATTGGCAGAGGGAGGCTAAAATTGCTACCAACGTATATACCAATTTTATGCATGCTCGGCTACCAATTTTAGCGATGGCACCAGTCTAGTGTAAACATAGAACATTGTAGAAAACAGCAATTAACTAAAATAAAAGCATTTTTATTTAATTTTGAGAGTTTCCCGAATTCCCGTCTCTGTAACATCAAGGCTACAAGCTATTGACCCCAGCGCGTGCAAGCGTCAGGCTATACTAATATAATAGACTTGGGTAGTTTAAAATCAAAATCGAAAATTGACTTTCTATTCCTTCGCATTTTGAAACTTTACAAGTTAACACAATATTATATTACTGAAAGTCACCGGACTATATCTAGTAGACTGCTAGTGATGGGAAATGAGTTCCAGAAAACAACAGAAAACGAACCCGAAATATGGATCCATGAAGAGAAATGGATCAAGGTTGTAAAAGATTTCAAGAGAGCCACTGAGGTCCTAGAAAAAAATAGAATAGCTTTGGATGAACATCTTATACAACTTGATGAATCCAGAAAAGTTGTTAGTGACGAACCACGAAATCGAGCCCTTGCAGAGCAAGCTGAACTATATACGAGAGAGATATTAGACGAGGTTGAGCGATTAGACCCAAGATTCAAGAGCACATTTCTGAAATCAGGGAGCTTTTACGATGACGCAAAAGTGGGCCTACCAGATGAATATGATTACATGGCCAAACTTGTGCTACTCTCGAAGCCAGGGATTGGAAGGGCAGTTCCAACAAAGCTTGGCTTTGCGAGAATAATACTGGAGGACGAAAAAGCCAAAGAATTGTGGGAGCAATTTCTTTGTGAAGATTCTGATGAAGACACCTTGGAGGTATTCAAGAGTGTCTTATCAATCAGCAAGCTTCAGGAAGAATTTCGCAGCCTTGTTATGAAGGCAATAAAGTCTGTCAAAATGCCATCGAAATGGCAGCGTGATCCTTGCCCTGAACAACACGGTCCATGCGCTATGCTTGAATTTTTAGTGGACGATTTTCTACCAGAAGGTCAGTTGTACATTTCAATCGATTTAGCACCGTGCATTACATATCCCAATCACAAAGATATTGAATTTCCTTTCTATCGGTATCTTGATATCGAGAACTCCTTTGCCACAATGCTTACGCAAATCGTGGCGGAGCAATATAATGTTTTGCTAGTACCATTCATTGATGACGGAGTGAAACTTGTCAAAAAAACCACCTGTATTTATCGCCAGTCGTTTCGCGAGCAAATGAGAGTGTCATTTTCCATGGTAGAAAAAGACATTTTCGCCAATTTCGCTTGCAACAGCATTGAAAAGCGAGTACTGCGACTCTTGAAGATTCTGAGAGATATCCATTTGAAAGATGATGAGAAAAGGCAAGAATGGGAAGACCCAGTACCAGATGAACCACCATCGACCAAAATGGAGGTAATATTTATAGTTCTAGAAATGTGACCAAAGTTACCCATCGTAATAAATACAATGGAAAATGAGGGTGTTTTATTTTAATATAACCAAGGAGCAGCGTGGCAGCGTCTTCAAACAACTTAGCATCAAATGTGGTATAACAACTGCCTAAATAGACAAAACACTTCTCGACGTTTCGACCTGAGGGCCTTCGTCAGGAGAGTTAGTATGAGTCATACTAATGAAAACACCAACTATTTTCAACTGAAAGAATGCAAATGGTTATAACAAACATCGAAGTTTCAGTTTAAAATTTCAGTGTTTGTTAAAGTAATTTGCAAGCAACTATTGGATTGTCCAATCGCGTTAAACTCACTTAGTGCTAAATATTCAGTTGGGGTTCGAAATCCTGATCATCATGGCGGGAAACTTGTTCCCTGTGTCGGCATACGATTGATACGAAGCTGTGTGGAATATAAAAAAGTCCGTTTTCATCAGTACAAAGCAGTTACACATATTTGTTGGCCATGCATGTGAAAGATAACGAAGCTATAGTAGATAACAAAGTTCTTCGAAATATTTCTACTTCATTAGAATATCACGACAATTGAGCAATACGTACCACCTAAGCACCCAAAGTGGTTTTGGGACTACGTTAAGGGCAAGGTTCCTTATAAAGAAGGTGAATTGAAAATAGAAAAGGATAATGCATCTGTATCAGATTTGCTTCAGGTAACGCCAATCACAATTCTTAAATTTTACTTACTTTATGTATATAAAATGGTAGATACTTTTTTAACGAAAGTAGCTAATATTTATGCATTCTGATTTGGTTAGTGAAGTGTAAACAAATTTGCATATTGGGATTTCCTTCGGAAAACGAAATTCCTTCTTGTACATGTTATACTTTACAGATATTCATACCAAAGTTAACGGTTTACGAATTCCATAGGGGGCCCAACAATGTTGATTCGCATGGTTACGTCACCATACAAAAGGATATAGCGCAGGAGCGAATGACCCTAAATGCACCATACAAACACTTTTTGCCCTTTTCCCTAATGAAATGATCATGTACAAAAGGAACTAATGATATCATCTTAACAAACGTCGCTCCGTTCAAATAGAGTGGCATGAATAATTGTCCCTATGCAAATCAACCCTCAATATTTTGACACCAGATCTCCCTTCAACCCTCCACGTCTTCAAGTTACCATTTTCCTGTTTGGCCTTTTAGTTGTAACATTGCAGTATAACTGCATTTATAACAATATATTTCTTTTTTTTTGTTAATTATGAACAAAGACGTACGTTTTCAAGTCACTGTTTTTCTACACAAAGCTGTTCTCGACTGACGAGGAACGATGGAAGCCGGGTAACTTGTCAGGAACTTTATTAAAGTGCCTAGATGATTTATTTAATGTTTACAGTGTGCCTAATGCGGCATTACCAAATTTTTTCTTCGATGGATACACTGGCAAAAAACCTAACTACTACAAACAAAAAAAGATTTTGATGGGAATGTTTAAGCTTGCTCGTTCACTTCAAGTATATGTTGATGAGGCATGAAATCAAAGAAACATGGAAATAGTGATATAATAGTGATTTGTATTGTACTGTAATGATTTGTACTGGCGATAAATTAAATATATAGCGTTAGTGAAAAGTAGTTCCCAATTCCAGTGTGTCAAAAATGAACTAATGAAACTTCAGTTTTTCGGTGAAGCCCCGAATGTACATTAAAAAAGTACATCACCCATGAGCTCATGGTCCGCTATACTCAACTTTCGGCGTACGTTTATGAGGTTCTAAGCCAATCAAATTCCATATAATTATCAGTGCTTGCTTGAACCTCAAGTTCCTCTAAACCGCGCAGCTATGCCCTGGGAACGAGATTGCCGTGTTTACAACCCCCTTTGCAGGCTAATGAAAGGGTGGGAAACGAAAGCGATTTCGCACAGTCAAATATCATATATTAAATATTCCAGCAGGTGCCGCAATACATGTCATTAAATTTTAAATATGCGGCATTACGGGTCGTTTTAAGTTGGAAACCGCGGATGCAAAAAAAACATATCCGTTGGATATCTCAGCAGAAATAAATTTCATGAAGTGGAACGTCTAGAAGAAATTTTATCAGGAAATATGTTTTCTTCTAGGAAAACGTAAATACCGAAAAGGAAACAGTTTATAATGTGACTATTTCATTCAGTTGTTTGAAATATAAATAAAAGCTTCAATTCAATCCATTTCGGAAATCGATATTTCTCAGTGAACATCAATATAGCTACTATCAATCTAACGTCAATATGCGCTTCAATAAATCTAAGCACAGTATGGCTTCCGTTTTGTCATTCGTCATGTTCGCTTTTAAACAAACCATAAGAATAGTCAATTTGAAAATTAACAAAACAGCAAGGTCAAGGTGGAAATGTCTTAGTGGTTTTCCATATAATAATATTTAAAAATATAGAATCAAATGAAACGGGCAAGTCATTGATAATAATTTACGCAAATTAACTGTATATAACACAACCGAATTTCCGTCGTTGACAAGAACAATATACAAGACATTTTAGTGCACTTGAGTTGTCAAGGCAGCTTTTAAGTATTCGTTCTAGTGTATAATGTATACATTTTGCATTTTGCATACATATATCAACTATTCATTTAATGATAATGTTTATGTTCCACACGCCACCTGTATTTTGGTAAAGCTTTCAAATTTCGTTCAATATTCATCAGTTTAACCGAGACCAAAGATTTGCGGTTGGTGCATTACATTCTATTTATTTATCTTTAATTTTTAATGCCATCAAACGGTTTCAAAACGTCGGACATTGAAGACGCTTACTAAAATTATTATTTCGCCGTTTAGTTAAACAATCAGAAATCAAATTCTCACCCAGTGATGGCTTCAACAGATCACGACGTACGGCAGTTTGAAAGCGACGGCAGAGATAAGCCAGCAACAGCGAACTCCAATTATGATAATGAGAGGAGCACAGCTGAGATAAAACGAAAACCCTCTGCAATGACTAGACGAATGAGTTTCTCTAGACCTTGGTCGTCCTACGCAAAAAATTACTCTTCCTGTTTGTCTGGTCTTAGAAGAAACTCCAGTGAACAGTTATATCGAAGACAAGGAAGCCTTCAGTCGTCCCCTACTACGAGTTGTAATGATCTCTCCAACTCATTGGATAGCGGGCAGCTAAGAAAATTAAAGACAGCAACTCATGATTCGGAGGTTGAACCAAAAACGTTCAAAATTTCAGCTATGCACGCTAGGCCGTTTCATCAGCGAAGGTGGTCGAGTCCAGTAGCTTTCTCCGTAGCCAAGCTTGCTTCATCTCATCAGAAAGCCTCAAAACATTTTGATGAAGAGAATGGATCAGGAGGTGTTGAGCAAGATTGCAGTAAAGATAAGAATGAAGATAAGATATGTGAGACTGACGAATATATAATACGGTCTCAAAAGCAAGACAAAACACCTGACTCTTCAACGCCGCATTGTAAAGGAGGCAAGATGGAAAGCGAAGTAATTGAGAAAACGTCGAATGATTCGCCCGCACTTAGTTGTGGTAGAGCAGTGTTCTCGGACCAAAACTTAATGGAAAACCGCCAGAAAGAGGTGAATAGAGAAGCTGGAAAAGTAGAGTCAACCAATATGGATAAAAGTCAACCGTTGACAGATGAAACAAAGTCAGAATCGTTATCTATATCATCCGTTGCTAAGGAAGAAGAGCCTACTCAGAGTCGAAACATCTACACGGAAATAAAAAGGAATACAAAATGGTCGAAAAGCAAACGTTTCAGACGAAGACATCATACAATTCACACAGATTCTCGCAGGTTTCTAAACCCGACGTTATTTACAATTGCAGAACAGTCCAGTGGATCATTTGGCAGCGTAATTCGAAATGACACGTGTAGTGATCAGGTTGTAACAGGAAAATTAACGAGTAGACGGAGCAAGAGTTTAGGTGATCTAAACACATTGTCTGATGATATGAAAACTAATGGTGTGAGTGTTCAACAACTTTGTGCCAAGTCAATTTCTGTTAGTGTGACGAGCAACAACATCAAGAAGAGCAAAGAGCCCGGCCCGCCATTACGAAACACTACAGTCGTGTATAAAGGAGAAGAAAAGTCGACTTCCAACAGGCAAATATCATGTCCTGTTCAAGTGAATATTCAGCAATTCAACCAAATTCAAATATCACCTGGTATAGAACGAAAACATAAGCCACAAGCCAGCAAAATTCAGTCATATTACCCTACACAACAACATGCAATTTTTACACAACCCAAAGCTAAATGGACCAGTATTACAATATCCCAAGTTTAGGAAAGTAATTAAGAAATATTTTAACTAATCTTTAATTGGCACTTTAATTGACGCAATTAACTTTTTTCTATAATTTATTTTTTGCCGTTTGCAAACCTATATATTGTTGCTATAGGAATATTCAAGCAATACACGGAGATTAATATTCATTCAAGCATTTTAAGCGTCGTTCTACATTGGACAATGATAATATTATCAATAGCTGAATAGCATTATAGCACATTAAGTATTTTGTTTCTAGGCAGCATTACTCTTTTTATTGTAAATGTAGGCAAAGGTTAAGAAGGATAGAGGCTTTTGTTAAATTTAGGAGGAGTCGAGAACCATAATTATATAGCATAGAATTTAATGCAATGCACACATACGTATGATAAAAAAGCACAGAGTAAAACATACGTGTAATAAAAAACACGGAGCGACGGGAGCGTTGCAGTAATGCTTAAGACGATAAACAATTGTACACTGAAATGAAGTTTGTCAAGGTTTCCACTGCGTATATGTTTTACAGCTGCAATTGTTTACAATCAAAGGTTTTGGTGTTGTTCCCTAGCCTAACTCATTTGGCTTTCCAAGTTCATTAAAATAGGCTCATTGTGTAACATTTGAACATCGTTTAAACATCTTTACGTTCTGATCGAGCTGGGGGCTGCGAGCTAATGTGAGTGCAACAAACCGCTTGGCACGAGCCTGCGCAAAATGTGTCCATTTACTCTCTAAGACATACCAAGATGCAAAAGAGTCAACTTAAACGGGTGCTGTAGACCGTTCTGCATATTTCACTGTGAGAGTTCCGCTTGTAAACTATGACCCAAATTTGTAAATTGTCCCGAAAACTTCCAAACCATAAGCTCTCAGCAAGCTCAGTCTTTTAACTGCATACGATAGTACTGATTTAAATATACTATGCATGCATAAACTCGCCAGTCACCACAAAGCCATCTTTTAAAAGACACACGAGAATAACAATGGAAAGCAGACCAATAATTGCAGAGATAAGTTAGCTTGTCTCCTCCAGTCATAGAATGATGTCTCACCACAAATTGATTCACTTGAAATATGAAAAACCCACAACAACATGTAAGTTTACAGCCAGAAACAAACCGAAGCCACATGGCTTATTCATCTAGTAGCAATTAAGAAATGATATACTTTCCGCCACAGTAAAAATTAGTACAAGAACGTTTTCTCCCACATCCTGTCCTGAAAATCCTTGAGCTTTATGCATTTTCTACAGAATTATATCAGCGAATAGCCACGTGGCTTAGAATGTGGCCTATAGAGTGTGGCTTATTAAGGCTCTGCCTCTAACTATTATTTGTGTGTTTCGTTCATTTTATTTTTATCTTTCTATAAGATGCCAGGTGATTGCAACATTAGATCAATTTAGATGCCGGATGATTGCTGTATCTGTTTGGTAAATCAGTTTGTGGTGAGACTGGAGGTGACAAGCTAACTTATCTTTTTATCATCAGCCTGTTTTTCATTGTTATTCTGAAAATGACATGCCTTTTGAAAGATCGCTTTTTGCTGTGAAGGTGATCTGTGTATAATGTAATCTGAAAGCCTTCAATTACCCGCGAATAAATAACAGCTATGGACAAGAATGATTCAAACATTTTGAACCCCATTATGCCTCGACTGGTACCCGAAATCAAACAACAATGCATTACAAGACTGTATTTTTGCGAGGTGGAACGACCGACTTTGAATTGGAAGCAAGAATGAAAGATCGTGCTATATATTGTCTTACCTTTTACATGTTTCAAATTCTCAGTGATCCAACATGCCTTTGTGCGGCTGTTGAAAGTCACAACATAACGAAGCTACATTTTATGGAACAAGATCTTTTACAAGGATTGTCTAATTACATCAATATCATGAAAGAAAATTTGGTAGAATACGAAGATATTCTTTCTCAATCTAAACAAGACATTTTAAAGCAATTGGAATATGGCAGACGTGACTATTTAGGAAATCCAATTTCAGTATTTCGTTTAGTCAAGAGATTTTCTGAAGGATGGGGAAAGTTAGCAAAATTTATTCGAGAGGATGACCCGACATTTGGTACGAATGATATATTTGTTATAACGGATTTCAATTGTTTCTAGCGAACTTATTTCGGTGATTTCATGTTTCGTATTCTCGCCTAAAGTAAATGACAAAACGTTTTCTTTGTTGTTTTAGTCTTTAGTTAAGAGGCCAGTCATATAATCGGGGAAAGGGAGATCAGAAAAGGAAATTTGCCACCTACCACAAATTTAATTTATATTCCCCCCCCCCCTGTACTTTATAATGCGAAGGTAAAAAACTAGGAGATTGAGTCGGAAGTTATTTATAAGTGAAACTGTATTATAATCAGTTGGTAGTTGACTGTTATTGGCGTGATGGTTATGCTTCGTAACTCAGATTTTTATTTTGTTTTTCTAGACTTTCTGGCAATAATAAGGAAACATTCATCATCATTTCCGGCAACTGTAGATGATGCTGAATCTTTCTTAATAGGAATCAAGGAGACTTCCTGACAGGCCAATATTGGAAATTAGAAGAATTTTGCTCCTTATAACCTCATGCGTGAAGTGGTAGAGCCACTTGATTGGAGTGGAACAACGGACGTGACAACACCATCCCTATAACTATTTTCGTTTCCATTTGGGTGGGGCATTGCTTTGAGTGGGAAACTGGAAGCAAGTTTTTGTTCGAGTCAATTTGTGAAGTCAATGATAATGATATACCACTCCTGAAATTGCCCTTCTGACCAAACCCCTAACCGAACTCGCCGGCACGAGTTCCTAACCTGTGTGTTTTATCATCGTATTCCTATCATTGTAGTGGTTTACGGTCTAAAAGTAATGTAGTAATGATAATATCGATTCTTTTGCAATTTTAACATTAACGTTTTAAATTGAATAATCGCCAACCGTCATAACCTCATTTGCGTGGTTCATTTGCTTGATCAAATATTACATAAAATACACAAGTCAATTAAGGGAACAACTACATGTTCATCAGGTTTTGTAAACATTTATTATTTTACAGGTCATTTCTTAATTGTTGTCTTTCGCATTATTTAATAACCATATACATATTAAATATATATATATAAGCTATAGAAATATAGAAGCTATTTATCAACACAACATAAGAACGAAACGGTCGAACAACATGCACGAAAGACAACTATATATAGTCCAAATAATCTCTATATATTTATACTATTTACATTCAAATATTAGGTGCAAAAATGAACATGATATTTGTAAATACTTTATTTTTAGGAATTTTATAGCTATATACTAAACTACATACAAACACAAGTCAATGAATTGAAATGTCATACTAGGAAGCTGAATACCTCTATTTAATGTCCTTGCTCATAAACTGGTCGCAACTGTCGAAACATACTTTTGTTCAAAATTTTTTTTTGTTTTTTTGAGATATATCAACGTCAAGCACAGTCGATTACTCTATATGTACAATATTTACAAAACGTTAGTTTAGTTAACGTAATATCAATTCTTGATCATATCCACAACGTATTATTCATTCACGCATGCAGGCATATGCAGCAATGATAACTTTGAAACTTCAGTTGTCCGATCCTTGATTAAGGCGCTTTTACACGGTGCAATTGTTCAATGCAACTTGTCTAACAATGCTGTTAAGAGACAAGCTGCATAAGCGATAGTCAATTCTAATTTTTACAACGCTCAATGCATAACTTGTCCCGCAACTATTTTGATCACTGCAAGGCATGTTAAACGGTGCAACTTGTCCGTGGCCTTGTGAGACAGGTTGCATGAAAAATTGCAGCGCAAATAAAGATAGCGTAGTGTTGGCCACAAAAGATAACGAAAATAAACGATCCTTATAAATAATCCGCCCCTGTCTTTTTTCTGTTCTTTTAAATGAAAAATATACCAAACATTTTCGTTGGAAAAACGTGCAATGTGCCTGCATGACACTATCTAAAATCTTTCTTCTAAATACAATTAGAATGCACTGCCAGGTAAAGTTTAAAGTCATTAGTTAACTTTACATTCAAAATAAATAGCAAGTATAAACATTCTTACTTATAAACTGCATTTTTATATTATTTTTCCTGTTTTGCAATTGTAATTCCGAAAGTTTTTCAGAAAATAGTATTTCTATAATAAATATATGTTATTTGTATTTAAATACGATACTAAATTATCTTATGAAATACTGATTTTAAAACATTAAACTTAATTTTAATTGGTATAAATTTCTTGTTTTTATTTTTTGGAAGAGTACAGTGAACAAACACCAAAATGTCATTATATGCTTCTCAGGGCAGGAGGGGGATTTTTATCATTAACATTATTAATCATCAGGGTAATTAATATACGTGACACACGGTTAAACTAACAAAAAAATTACTCGTGGCCGTTATATTCATACACTTAGCTGACTGAGTAAGACCCCACAGTGTAATTCGAATTTTACCGGACTGGAAACTGACCATGCAAGCCTAATTAGTTTGCGAAGTTTGTCGAACCAAAGGGATGCAATCCGGTTTCCACAATCCCACTCGGGCAATGCATATTAAGCTTGCGCCAAGAAGCTTAACTGCAACTGCAATATTACACAGGGGCATTGTACGAAGGAAGGAGGCTTTTTCTACAGGATGGGGAATTTTTTAACCCTGGTAAAAATGATGTTCGAAAATTAAGATATAAAAGCGCATAATCCATACAAGGGGAAGTTGGTACTAGATTTCTGTCTAACAAGGCCCTCATAGAACCACTTGTATGAATTAGCACGAAGCAGTTATTAGTACTCGATACAAACTATTTATCACACCATCTGACCAATTAGACCTTCTTCATCATCTTGTTTTCTGAAAGTTTTAAATACCGGTTGTTTCTCTCCTAAATTATCAAAATCCTCCTCGTCGTCTTCGTCGACATCAAATTCGGTAAAGTTTTTGTTTGCACATTGAAAATATTTATCTCCATGTACGACCTTCTTGTGTGGCACAGCAGTGGCTGGCAGTATTTTAGCACCAGCTTCTGTACTGTAGTGAATTCTAAAATACACAGATATAATCAGTTGTTTGAATTACTCCATGCATGCAGTATGCTCTTGTAGCTATATAGCTGGACGGGAATTAATAGAGCTTCATTAAAATCCAAGATAATATCGATGTCCGGACAGGAAAGCAAAACTTACTCCATTGTTCTTTTAGTATTCTTTTTACGACAATATATGACCACAATAACCAGAATTAATAAAACGACGACGACACCAGCGATAATACCGCCTAAAATTTGTGAACTTAAACCGGTTCCCTTTGACTTATGAGCTTCAGCTGCTATAAATAAATGAAAAAGCGACATAAATAAATCGATAAATCGATAGACCACGTTGCCATGCATGGTAATATGGTGTGATCATCAATCTTTCGCGGACGAATATTCATACAGGATGGTAACTTGTACATGCCAACAATTTTGAGGTATAATTACTAAAGTAGCTACGAAATATTTCGCATATTCATTAAATTATATAAACAAATGCTTACTTGGTTTGGTCGGTGAACCAACGAGGACCTTTATAGTGGGCATAGTTGTCGATGATTCTAAGAGATTTATAAAATGGTATAAACTTAATTGCAAGTTACCATTCGACCCATACAAGCTGGACGTGATTAATCATGCATAGATGTTCCCATCAGCTTTTCAAGAACCAAATTTTGGTTAGTAAGTTTTATGACGGTTACATACCATCTTTTGACGTAGTACGGTCCTCAGATGTGGTTGGAATTGTCGTCGGTTTCACTGCTATATAATTTAGATGGACAATATTATTAGTTGTTAGTGGAATAAAAATGGTTAATATAAAGTATATATATATATATATATATATAGAGTACATACGCATTTTGCAATTCTTTTGATCAGGCAGCAGAGTACCATTCTCAGGACAAGCACATTCGTAACCATTTGGTATAAGAAGGCACAAGTGACTACATTCTCCATTGTTTGTGCACCGGTTGGCAACTGAAGACGACATAAATATAGACTGTTAAATCAGACGTATAGAATATTATGATAGCAGTGAGTTATTAAAGGTAATAATTCATTGGAGTCGACACTATAATTAACCCCACCCGCCTGTAAACATCAAAGTATGTGTGATGTGGTGTTGTGTAGAAAATTCTATGACGTGTATTATAGTCTACAGTGCAAATAGATTGACAGAAGGCTATGATGTGCATGCGCCATGCGATGATACTAAAATACACCAAGATGTGCATGCTGGCTGTAGTGGTATCAGTGTAGTGTGAAGTGGCATATGCCGGGTGAGATACAATGGCCACATGATGTATTGGACTATTCTACGTTGATCTACGACGAACATAATGAAATGAACTAATGATGGTTAGTTCATGCAAATGCAGAACACGTAAGTGACATAACACACTTTTGGTTGAACGAAAAGAAGATAATATGATTGAAATACAGTAAAATAAGAATATTTAAACTTACCTTGGGGTTGGGATAAAGAATGCTGAATTGAAATTCCTTTAGGAACAAAACTTGTAACATTCTCGTTATTTATAAGCAATGTCCTATTTTTCCCAGTAAATTTATTTGCAGACGAAACCGTTTTCTGCAAAGAATCACTCCAATAAATATAATCTCCAAAGACGGCAATATCAAATGGATGCTTGATATCATACACCACAATTCGACGACGCTGTTTTCCATTTAAGTCACTTGATTCAATATGACGCATTTTCGAGTCAAGCCAAAACAGTTTGTGATTCGGATAGTCGATAGTCAAACCAGTCGGTAATAAAAGAGACGTCGTAACAATATCTTCCTTATTTTTACCATTCATGTAAGCTCTAGAAATCTTTCCAGCTGTGTCTGTCCAATACAAGTACCTAAATAGACACCGTGATTAGAAAGGAAAGCGACTGAAAGGTTATAGCCGAACAGCTCTATTTCCACTCACCCTTTCTCTGGATGAACAGCGATACTGTGAATATCTCCTTGGAAAGAGGCGATCGTCATTTTATTTTTGCCATTAAACTCCGCAACGTATATCGTAGAACCTGAAGACGAAAAGATACGTCGTAGGTCTTTATAAAGCGACGAAAAATCTATTCTACGCATATATATTTTTCGTGAGTGTTGTGGGTGAACTACTTTAAAGTGAATGATTACACTTCGTTGAGTTGCAATCGAACAATAGGAAAAGACTGAGCGAGTACAAAGTACAGTATAACAGCTATGGCCTGCGTCTCTATAATTTTTCTACAATTTATAAGTTGCACTATAGTTGTACCTAGTATTGATGTTGTAAGCCAGTAAAGCTTTTCCGTTATCCAATCAATTTCCAAATCTTTAAAAAAGCTGCCAGTTGCTACAATCGTGGCTACGTTATCCTTACGACCAAGAGGTGAACTAAAAATCTTTTTCTCGAATTCATCTGCCCAGAACATGACGTTCGTCTTATGATGTATTGCAACGGCAACAACATTTTTTGTATTTTTCAGGCATTTCACTCGAGATCCGTCATGTGAGACGCTTCTTACATCCACCCCGACAGCAACTACGAGTTTCTCCTTCTTACCTGGAGGCGGGGAGCAAAAAACATCAGTTTGAACACAATACGTGTGTGGCAAATGCAGTGTAAACACACAAAGTACATACAAACATACCTGAACTAGGAATGCAATTTTTGCCATTCGGTAATAAAAAATAACCAGCTGTGCAGGAACATTTGTAGGAACCTTCGGTATTAACGCATATTTGGCTGCATCTCCCAATCGTTTCACACTCATTGATATCTGGTGAAGAAATCATTTTTTTGGAATATGCACATAACTACACATTGTTTTTCATCATTTTGGTGCGACGATGTTTCAATTAACCCGTTGCATGTATATATATATACATATATGTTGACCATCAGTATTATGTATTACGGGGAAAATGGTTTTGACATGATTATTTGCACGGCAGATTGGAACAAATAAGGAATACAGTATTATGAGGGAAAACACCATATAATATCACAAATAATCCTGTCAAAATCCTACCGTACCTTGGCATGTTTTGGAGTCTTTTAACATTTTAAAACCATGCTTGCAAGAACAATAGTAGCTTGTTTTAGTGTCATGACAAATATGGCTGCAATTTCCATTGTTTTTCTCGCATTCATTCACCACTATAAGAATGAACAAAGGTTTTATAATATCTTAGTCTGCGATCTTTAAGAGGGCCAAACGAGCTCAGTGTTGAACAAGTGAGGAAACGTACAGCAGGATGCCTCGTCATCGCCACCAGGACAATCGGGATGCTTATCACAAATCTTTGTTTTATTAATACATTTCGACATGTCCTTGCATTGATACTCGTTCTCCCCACAGGTTTTTACCGTTGTAGGTGCGGCTAGAAGAGAAAAATCATACGATATAAAACTGGTATATATTGCATTCAATGACACCTGCATGATTACTATATCCCGTCATGTACCAGTTGCCCTATCATGTTCATCATTACCCTGCCTATTACGATCCATATGATTGCAAGATACTATAAACTTACTAGTGGTTGTAGTAGACGAACATCTCGATGTTTTCTCATCACTTCCGTCATTACAATCAAGTTTACCATCACAAAACTTGTACTTCATAACACACGACTTGCCATCATCACATAATTCTTCTCTACTTGAAAAGCACGTAATCGCGGCTGTCGAAATAAAAATTATTCAAAATATTTACAAACGATGTGCATGAAAACAGAAAATGCATGCCGGCAGGACTAAAAGACCCAGTATAATACGAATATCATTACAAGTTCTCAGTCTAACAACGGTAATACAACTCACAACATCCTCGCTCATCAGCTCCATCAGTACAATCTTGTTCACCGTCGCATTTCCATGAATTTGGATAACAGTCCCCGTCGCAAAAAAATTTACCAGGCGAGCACGTTGCTGCAGACGGACTCACTATTATAAAGAAGTATTGAAAAATGTGACGTTTCTTTGCAAAAGTATTAAGTTCTACTGAGATAACCCTACATGTTGGACCTTGGACTGTACAAATCGTGTAGTAAAGTTATTCTATTAATAATCCAATCAATGATGAATATATTATACATACCTGTCGTTGGTGCTGGGCAAGATTCCTCATCAGAGTTATCCAAACAGTCATCCTTTCCATTACACTTCAAATTTTGTGGAATGCATTTACCAGACTTGCATGTAAAAGAATTGGGACTGCAGGATGTACCTAATAGGAAGGATATCAGTGAGACAATCTGCCATGTAGAATTATATTTAGATGAGGAAATCAATCAGTTTAAATTTAGAAAAGGGAAGTTCGCAGCTTATATTTCTAGTGACGTGAGTTGTTACAGGACGTAGTACCATAAATCCGTTTTAAGATAATACGCCGGATGGCATCCGTTGTGTCGCACAAAGAAAGCGTCGCGATGGTTCGATTCAAGAGCCTTCACCCAGGGAGTTATATCATACAAAGGTTCTTACGTTTGAAGGTCGAGTCGTTTTCTTTGTATATTTTATGCATTTGATTAACATTCAGGTTTACGAAAATGCATTTTACTAACCACAGTCATCTTCATCCGAATTATCATCACAATCGTCATCGCCATCACACACAAGTGATTTGCTTACACATTTCTTGTTCTTACATTGGAAAAAACCAGTCGAACAATTGGTTGGATAAACACCTATAAAGCAATAAATTAAGGTTGGTTTGCATCACCACGTGCAAATGATGATAATCCAAAAAGGATTCAAAGTTCAGTTTGCTTCAGAGGACGTTTAGCGACGAATTAAAAAAGATAAGATAAGATAAGATAATTATTTATAAACTTACAGTCGTGTTCATCTTCACCACCCAGACAATCGTTTTCTTTGTCACACCGTAGCAAACGAGGTATACAGATCCCATTGTAACATCGGAATTGTTCAGAAGAGCAGGTTGTAAAATCTACAAAAATATTGTTGAAAACTAATTTAGGCACGATATCGTTTGCCTAACTCTAAGGGTCGAATCCATGTAACATTTTTGGTGTTTTTCCATTCTATTTCCAATTGTATTCCTACTTTAGATGATGTATGGAAATCTTTGAGGGCTTTTAGTCAAGGCGATGAAAAGTTCTTAAACGTTTCTTCGGCCAACTGAAACAGTGGCAGACACTTTATGGAATATTAGGGGGAGGGGCTCGGGAGGAGAAATATGTTAAGGTTTGCCGTTTTTCAAACCCCCCCCCCATTGCATTTGTGAGAAAACATTTCGTAATAAACTTCAGTTTTTGTAAAAAATTAACTGAAACCTCGTTCCACCCAAAACGCTATATGAAACCTATTTATCAACAGGCTAGTAGAATAACATAACCTATAGTGCAATGCATGGGGGCGGGCTACAAGGCGAAGTTTCAAATCGTACTTACTACACAATGCTTGTTTCTCATCACTCCCGTCATTACAGTCAGCGTAATTGTCACAAGTCCATTCTTTCTTGATACAGCGACCATTCCCACACTTGTGTTCAGTATCACTGCACTCTCCTGTGTTTCCTAAAAAGATGTTGAATGTCGGCCGATGATTAGGCAATACAATACAGGCTGTTCTCATAAGAACCATTCACCAGGGGTGAAATATTCAATGACTTTGATTATTCTGTTTGAGCGAATCTACGTCAACAGATTTAACAGCTGAATAGCCCTACTGCAAGTGAATATAGTGAAAAAATATACTAGCTAATGAATAGCGCCATCAACCTTGCTGAAATGACCCCAATTCACATAATATGGTTGCCATGACCTAGTTAGTTGTGCGAACAAGGGCCACATACATTCTATAACTGAAGTTGACAGACAAGACAAGAAGCTGCAGTGAATTTCTCAGACATCGTATTCAGTTTTACATCAACATCACCATATAGTTGTTCAAATATATGTTGCGCCCTATTTGTGGGAAGTCGTTCAATATGGCCGATAATACTATAATGATCCTGAGTGCTCCTGATAAAATATTTTTATCAGGATTACGTTCAGGTGAATAGGTATGTTCATAGGTATGAAGATGGAAAACCGTAAAACAATTATAAGAGAAATGGAATGTGAAAGAGAGAGATCTCCCTTCTTCCATGTCGAAAAATACTCAGCTTCGCTATTCTGATCAGGAAGAACTATGATATGGAAAGCCGGATGAGTATGTCGACTACATTTTAAAAGCTACCACTGGTTGTTGTTGAAATTTTTGACCAAGTGTACTTAATTAATGTAGGCATGTATTCTTCCGCTGAAGTCATTTCCTGTCTTGATCACTTTCGATGCAATCAAAAAACAGGGGTAGAAACATATTGTAGGACTTACCCGTGGTTTAAGCAACTCGTTAAACATGTCACGTATGACACGGTGCACACAGCTAGAAGCCTGACCCGACAGCTGATTCACATATATGTTTGCGTCTGTGTCATTATGCTTCATCCTGCCGCCGGAATACTAGCATAGACGAACTCAAATGACAATAGATCTTTCTCTTATGACGTCTAACGCGGAAAGTCGGATGTTAGCTACATACAGTTTGATTTCGATCAATGATAGTTTCGATCAATTTCAGTCATACTAAAGTTACTTTTAACGCAGACTTTTGAGTTTCGCAAAACACGCTGTACACGTGTGCAAATATAGCAGGCCTGGTGTTACTACAGGTGCCCAGTTGATATGGCTCACGTATGCGATAGGTTTTTTTGCAGTACCTTTAGACAGCTTGGCCAGGAGAAAAGATCTTTATGTATATGCGTGGCAAAAATCCCACGTGTGCAAACTATGTGAGCTATTAGCTCAGGAATGAAGGAGCCAATGAAAATCTTTTCTCACGAGGTTAAAAATATTAATATACCTTGTCAAAAATGCCATTAACATCATATGATGATATACATTAAAAATGCTTAGTGGAAAAAAATTGATGTTTTTAACCGTAACTAGGAACTACTTAAGCAATTTTGGACATTTCACTTCCAGGTGAATATCTGTCATCTCAAATTAATCCCGTGACTCTCTAGACAACCACTTTCACATGGTTGTGCCTCTGCAACATCACTATGTACTCAGAAAAAGATGCTTTACATCAACAACAAATGGAACAGTTCAAGCACAACTCCGTAACAGTCTAAAATATAGCTGACCTTGACCGTCAATTGATGCATATTATTTCATGCAAATTCAGCAACTACGCAGCCATAATTCCTATATTAATATTGTCTGGTATGTACTTCAACGGTTGCTATGTATGTTAGATTGTCCGAGTCTATTTGAAGTGGCTATTTTTCAATATTTACATGGCTGCCAGCTGTCACCACGTAAGCTTAAAATTTGAAAAGATTCTCATAACAACTATTTAGCAAAAAGCTCTTTTCCATTTTATAAAGTATTCTGAGCGGAAATGAGAAACACTGAAAACGTTCTTGGTGATACCCAGCGAAGTTTAGATGACAGTCTAAAAATATTTAATTAACTCAAACTCAGAGGGAGAAACGAATACTAAATATTCGGGAAAAAGTAGGAACGTAAACAGCAAAATACATCAAATTGGCCAAATTATTGTACAAGAGTTAAAAACGGATATACGTTTCGGAAACGATCTCAAGCTTTCAAATGATAAGTACAGGAGTAAGCTAACGCCCCCCAAAAAACGCCTCCGTAATAGCCAATGAACGCTCGCATTTAAGCAAGCCTTCGCAACGCCACAATACTCCCACGTAAAATATTAATTCCACGATAAACAAACTAACGAACATACGCAGTTTAATACGCACAGAATACCCCCAAACTATAACTGCTTACAGGCAGCTATAAGTTACTGCTTACTATATTTCCTATTTCAAAAAACCGAGCAATTTGCGATCATACGTTGCCTGAAAACGTTTAGAAAATAGTGTTAAATTCCAAAGATACACCAGACGCGATGAAGCAGAAGATTATTCTTGTCCGGATACTAGTAAAAACCGAAATAGCCAGTTTATAACTATGCTTCTCGTTTGTTATGTAATTTCTCTTTCATTTCAAATATATTATAACTGCGGGAAACGGTAAAACGTTGTTTTAGAGATGCCAGATCTATTAAAGTAGACTCGCTAAGATGAATAGTGGAGGGACATATAAGGTAGAACGTATGTTGAATATATAAATCTTTACTGTCTGCGTGGCAATTCTGTGCAAATCTATTCAGGTCTGGTACTGTACAATCCATTAAAATAACATACCAAACAAAGCACATTAGTTTAGAATAGAAATCAACAAAGTATAGTTAAATTTCGCTGTTACATACAACACACCACTAGCCACTATGTTGACTACAAGCATTTTCCGACAGATTCGTTTTAGGTATCGCCGGCCCAATAAAGAGGCCCCATACCTACACGTCGACATAAACATAAACCGTTAAAGACTTTCAACTTTAACAAAGTTTAACATACCACAACTCTGCTCATCGCTGCCATCACTACAATCTGCCTCGCCATCACATATAAACTTTTCAGGAATAGACGAGGACGTCCCTTGTGGACCGGCTGTAGCGCACTGACAGTCACCGTTTACATCGCAATTCAAGGCTGAAAGAAATGCAATCAATTTATTTGAACAGATATGTAAGTAATATTACACGATTCTAGACTCAAAAGTTCTTTCAACGTTTTTCAATTAAATATTAATAAAGGTTCCTCCCTTACTATAAATTGAAATCGTTTGAATTTACTATACAAATACAAAAAAGCGTTCTCTTGTCAAAATCTATTTTCCTTTACGCGATTTTAAGGTGATCACCTTAAAACTAATGCCGAGAGTTACATCATTGAAATCTGACACCGTATAGTGACAAAATGGAAAAGTTCCCACACAATTTGTGCACCGATGTACAAACGAATGACGATATCTTTATAGGTTCTTAACATTCACTCGCTCAATAGATATATATTTACCTGAAACAAAAAGCAATTTAATGCTACATGTTATAAGAAAAAGTCCATAAAAGAGCTTCAAATTTTTCCAATAAGAAGGCATTCTTTCTTGAACTCAAGAAAGTCGTAATAACTTTGAACAACAAAATTCCTCGCTCTGTTACAGCCAAACAGAGTATTGCCAATCTGCCGTTGTTTGTAAATCCTACCGCATGTATTTTCAGTCATACGATCGTGACGTCATAGGTTTTAGCCAATAAGAAGCCTCGCTAGGAGTATGGCGCCATATTAGTGGCATTAGCATCAATCGTACGATACCTTGTAAATAATTTATTACACTCAAATCTTGCAAAAAACTCTAACAAAACATATTTATATATTCACAGAAATGTGTGTATTTAGAGAGTAAATTTCTATCCTAGGTTTTTAGAGCATTGCCATTGGGACAGCATTTTTTGTTTCCTTCATACGCAGCGTTTCCTTTTTTTTTGTATTTAAAAATGGCAGCTACACGGGAATGGCATGGCATGGGGCTTTCCTAGCATCGCCAATAAATTTCAATTTTTTAAGTTGGCGAGGTTTTAGGACATTTAGACTCAAAACTGATTTGGTTTTTCATACGAAGACAATTTAGGCAAGGCATTATTTATAGCGATATAGCCGGCATGATTCTGAATGGCAGTGACGATGCCAATAGCAATGCCAATGGCAATGGCGATGCTTCTTTTAAAAACTCAGTTAACAATATTTTGTTCAGTTAAAAATACTAAAAAAGGCAAACGGTTAAACATTGTCAAGTTTTCTCAAGTCACGATGTTCAGTAATTTCGAGATTTCAATAGCATGCAATCAGTTTTGAATAGGGCCATCTTGAATTAACAGACACAGTTTTACAGAAATTGCTTAATAGTTTTCTGGAAAATTTCCAAAGACAATATTGAGCACATGCTTCTTAATATATAGGCTACAGCCTCATCAATATTATGATACAATCGTAATATACTCAAAACATCGGAATGGTCGAGTACGCCACCTATGAGCAGAATAGTAGCTTTTGCATAGTATGCGCAAATATATTTTTATGTTGGTATATGTATTGTTAAGAACCTATTATGAAAGAGTGCAGTGGTAATTGCATACATTATAGCATATGGAACGTAGACGAAACAGTACAGCAAACACGGAACCAGCGCCCCACATGATAACGTTTAAAGTGACGTCCCTTCGTAGTGGAGCGTAAAACTAGAAAAACATCCTATAGTCCTGTAAGAAATACATCAGTGGAGTGCATCATTGGATGAATAACGCATCATGTCTTGTTATTTCAAACATAGGTTAAAATCATTGTTGTAGGGTTGTGTATTGGAGCATAATTTTGAGATTTTACAGCATGGATTGTAGGATTGTGGTATATACCACTGATATATATACTAGAGTCATGCATGTTGTAATACTGTATAAATAGCCGAATTCATACGGAAAACTCGTCTGATGTGACTCCGGACACAGACAGGTCTCTCGTCCGAACTTTCCCGTTTAACTCTCCCGTCTGGACGAGAAACTCATCTTAAATTCGCATTTAGACGGAACAAGGGAAAATTTACAAAATTATCATCGTAGTGATTACGATATCTTTTATAGCATTACCCGACCCATCATAGTAGTCTTATATAATGAACTCTCCCATGGAGTAAAGTCGTGAGTTTCCCGTCCCTGGCCTAATATTCCTAGAGTGTGCATGAGATTGTGGACCAGCGAAACAGAAAATCTGATTCGTTTTGAGATTTTCAACAAATCATTTACAATTCTCATTTCTCAGTGCTCTTTACATACTATATTACTATAGACAGTATTGAGTAATACTTGCGGTAATATATCGCGTCAGTAATCATTGGGCCGGACACTGGTAAAAGAAAATAGAGGGAATTGTCAAGATTATTTATTCATGATGTGTCTAATATTGACAAAACATGTCCTGCACTGTCACACAGAAAACTCATAAACATTGTGCCACACATCACGGATAGCTAATATACATGTCCGGCTATAAAGTCTTAAAGCATTCAATATACAGCTTCTTTCCTGCCTGCCAATTGCAAAGCTATACCTATATAGTATGATGACATAAATGATACCTTGTACACGCAATGAAGAAGTCAGAGGTGGAATTAAACATGAAACTAACTGAAACGCAGAACTAAAAGAATCATGATTTTTTTATCACTTAGTCTCTTTTTTACAATGCTTTGAATTGCAATCCACGGTACTGAAATATAAATGAAATGTTCACAATAGCTGATTGAATATTTAATTCTTCATAAATACTTCAGAGGCTTCAAATTTAAAGAATTTTCTCGCTTGGCGACAACCAGTGGCGAACTGACGCGTATGTGCATTGCGTGCACCAATGCACATTGTCATGGAAGGCGTTTTATTTAACCTTCGTTAATGCATTTATAGTCTTCATATATTCTGAAAATCAAGTGTAGGATTGGAATAATACCCTGACCATTTCCATTGAATGGACAATGGAGCAGAGTATAAACGTTGTGAAAATTGATTGTACATAATGCGTGGTCAGTGACCATGAACGTCCAAATTCTTGGTCTTCAGTTCAGACCAAGCTTTAAATCATTTGTACTCATCTCCAGTCAGACTTAACATGGAGGCCTGGTGTTTTGCCTACTTGCTTTCCAAATGACTAAAAGCGTGATAATTGATAAAGGAGGAAGTAAAGCGATCTGGAGAGGAAGACGAAACTATGCGTTTATGCAAACAATATTGTATCGTTTAATCAATACATTTTCACATCATAATTCAACTTTATTTTAGCAGAGTCATGGAGTTAATTGTATTGTATTGTGATTCCTTCAGCCTACGTATAGCTCTAGGATATAATATTTAGTCATAAATAATAATAGAATACCAATACCGCTCTCGACCATGACTTCGCAAGTTCACAAATGAAATGTATTTTTAAAAAAATAAATTCTACTTTTCTAGAAAGCGAAAAGTGACACTTTAGCATCATGTACAATATTGTATAACATGATCATGGACTTTGCTTTGCATGGGAATTAATTTCAATCGAAAATCGTTGTTTTCCTGGAGTGACGCTGGCGCGGGCTTTTAGCCCGTTCAGAGCGTTATAGCTTTTGTTTAAAGGAGTAAGGCTTGTTTCATATGTCTTGCTTCTCATTTTCTCATGTGCCGAATCAGCCGAAACAATAGAAAAATAATAGAAAATCAGTTGAAATGCCTGATTATCTATTGTTGTTAACGGGGCTGTATAGGATTATGATCAGACAAACAACCCGGCGGAACTTTTTCCATTTCCTTGTTATGATGATTGACGCAGTGTACAAAATAGTCACGCGCACTTTTAATTCAAGAAATCTGCATGAGAAACACGTGTTGCAGATCTATATACGGTCACATGGTCTTAAATATAAGCTTTTGTGCTTTAAGGTGGTTTAAACTGGTTTGCCAAGGCTGGGATTAAATCAATGCTGACGTCTTTCGCCACCCGCGCAATCATATCATTCCATATTTAGTAAAATTAACTTCACTAACATTACTGTAATATATAAATTGCAAGCAACCATTACTCCAGTATCGTGAATCAGTGTGCATTTAGGTACGTATTCTGAAACTTTCTGGTAGTTTTGGTTATGAAAATAATTAAAAAGAATAGGGGAATCCTATAGGCTTGCTTTTAGGGAAAATATATCTGAAACAAAGGAAGGTCGGCCATCAGAACCACATTCACGCGTTAATTGCGTGGTGAAGATGCAGCAGGTAATTAGCTAGATTAATCAGGATTAATGAGCTGGGATGCGTCACTAGCTCACTAGATATTGTTTAATCCACATTTGGCACACGAGGCGAAGTAGGCAAGGGATATTGAGCTAGACTCATCAAATATTGTTTCAAAACGATTCACGGCAAATGGAAGCAATGATCATTTTAAAATACCTATACGTAAATCTTACATCGTAATGATCGTATGATCGTCGATCGATACAGCTTATTATTGAGAGGTGATTTATTGTTTAACATCTAGGGCAACAAATGCGTACGACAATAGGAAAACTAAGTTTTTTCGATTTATTCACTTATATTCACATATAAGCAAGCACTTAGACTTTTTCGTGCGTGTACGTGCGTATGGAAAATGCGACAATGGAATGCAGCTAGCCCTTACTTTGTGGTCTGTTACACAAATTAGCCCACAAATTAGATCTTATCCTACGTGATTTTGTATCTACGTGATTCAGTTAGATTAGATTCAAAATCACGTATTCGGTGAGAGTTGATTACATTCTATTTTCATACCTACTTTACGTAGATAGTACGCCTACTATCGCGTTATTTGCGCTGCCTGTTTTCTGTGAATATATATGCATATATATATATATATATATATATATATATATATATATATATATATATATATATATATATATATATATATATATATATATATTATATATATATATATATATATATTGTGTTACCCGTGACATGTTGCACGTATCTGCTTTACTAAAAACATTCCTGAAATTCAAATTTCAAATATCAAGACAAAAGAGGGAATTTATCTATCAATATCGTATTAACCATGATCATAATTATCGCATTATTCGCCTTCTGCTCCCGAAATTTTACGTCATAATTTAAATCAACTGTATAATCTTTTGTAATAATACAAAGTAAATGTATGTAAGCCTTCTGCGACTGTTATATTGATTTAAGGTCTTTATGCCTATATGAATGCAAGGGATGATTACTAGCACAATACGAAGTTTCTAGACTGTTATAATGGCATATATATGAACTATGAAGTTGTTTTGCAACGTGTCATTCAATATAATTGCCTATATTATATATGTAGGCTAAATTCCACTGCAAGTTGTCAGAAATGAGTAAAAAAAATTCGTTGACGCTGACTATTGCATGGCATTGCGAGAGGACTATTCCTGTAATGATAAAATGTCATGAATCGACCTGCATGGCGGATACACATCAAGTAAACTACTTACAACGCACCATACTGATAAAATGTGGTTTATAGATATATACAATGTGAAGTATTATAATTATATACAACGCTACAAACTGAAAACGAAACTGAAAACTCCATGTATTTCAGTTTACATAATTTTAAACTTTAGTTATTATTATAATATAGTAAAGTGACTGTAG